ATATTTTCACCCCTACCCCTTGACACTCTGTTTCAAGGGACAAGGGGAAGGGGTAGGGGAAGGGGAAGGGGTATAAAATAGAATTGGAATTGGGCCTAATGTCGACTTTTAACTTCACGGGACAATTGCAAAAGTTTGCACACGCAAAAATCCATTCAACACGCCCATGTTAACTTCAAATAAGCGTATTACTGTGGTTTACATAACACGTTTCGTCTTAGTAAGCATTGGCTTATAAAAGAGAGACCACGCGATCTCTTCATATCTTTTAACGTCAAAGAAACACAAAAATATCATGCAACACGCCAAAATTAAACCTGAAATTCATTATAGTAACACAGCTTTTGACATTAAGGCCCAATCCCAATTCTATTTTATACCCCTTCCCCTACCCCTCCGCCTACCCCTTCCCCTTGTCCCTTGAAACAGAGCGTCAAGGGGTAGGGGTGAAAATATTCCCCTAAGAATTGGGACACCACATATGTTGTGGCACTATTGTGCAGTCTATAATGATATGACGTTAGTTAGCAGAATGATCTCAGTGTTGGCTGGATTAGTTTGTATTAGTTTAGTCAACATTAGCATAGCTAATTGTTGACTGGATTTGAAAATAACCGTTCAATGTTTTTCAAATATATTTGTGTATATATAATAAGTCCTCTCAACTAAGCCCAAGCAATAAATTATAGCTCAACTTAAATATTTTTGCCCTTCCAAACGTTTTGTTAATTGGATTTTTTACAGTGCACATACAGTGGCACTTTTTCCCCTTCCAATTTTAACCAATTTAATTCATACATAAAGGGATTCAAGACTATTTTTATTATTTATTGCATTTGTACCGTTTTGCCAGTTACAGGATTCCCGTTTTGCTCTAAAAGTGTCTAAAAAGTAATTTAAAAGTGATTTTAAAAGTTTGCAGAGATCTCAAAATTGGTGTGATGGTTCCACAAACCCCCCCACACATGCACCGGACACTAGGCGGTGCTATAATACAAAACAAGAACATTTCCGTTATGTCCCTGTATAATTAAAATCTATTACGATTACGGCTGTTGCGAATAAAATTAAAATTAACTGAAAAGTGTTGATTGAGGCATTAATTAAATGTGGCATATTTCTTTTCACGCGTTTGTACGGCGTTGA